ATCCCACACCCGCATCCGACACGCAATCTTCCACGGCCCCCACGTCGTGCTCACCCGCGTCGCGGGGTCAGGGCCCAGATCGTCATCCTGCTTGCGCAGCTGCGGCGCGACTTCGTATACGAGGTCCGTGCGCTGGCCCCCGTCGGCGTTCTCCTCGTGGTGGTGCTGCTGCTGCTGCTGTTCATCGTTCTCTTGGCGGGGATCCTGCGCGTGCTGGGCGTCTACGTGCTGTCCCTGCGCTTGGGAGGCTTGAGAGGGAGTCTCGTTCGTGGAGGGGGAGGCCGATGTAGAGGTGGCAGTCGCGGACGCGGGAGGAGCGTCGAGCACAAGCGGCGACGGGGCAGACACTGCTGGGGGCACATTCGACACGATACAAAGCGGGCTCCGCCGTCTCATCCGGCCGTACTCCTCCTCCGCGTACGCGTCCTCGGGGGCGTACCCGCCGGGCGCGTCGTCCCCAGCTGCCTGGGCTTGTGCGTGTGCTTGAGCGTGGTCGTGCGCGGCTCCTTGATGCGGCATCTCCACATCCCCGCCCGCCCCTGCATTCTCAGCATTGCCCTCCCCAGTCGCTGCACCCGCGTCGGCGACATCCTCCCTCACCGAAGCCGCCCCCGCGCTCCTCACCCACCAAACCCGCACGCCCCTCCCCACCGGCACGCCCCACTCCCCCACCCACCGCTCCCCCGCCCTTCTCCGCTCCTCCGCCTCCCGCTCGTCCGCCAGCGCCCGCTCCCCCGCGCGCCGCCGCCGCTCGAGCAGTGCCGCCCACTCCACCGCGCGCGAGTGGCGCTCCGCGGGGGTCGGGACCTGCGCCGGGCCGAAACCTACTCCCAGTCCTGCTTGAGAGCTGGAGGCGTAGGAGGAAGTGAAGGGCGAGGCGGTAGAGGTAGACGCGTAAGCGAAGGAAGGGTGGGGCTGCTGCTGTTGCTGTGGCTGGAATCCTATAGAAGAGAGTGGTGCTTGCCCCGACCCGGAGCCAGAGCCAGATCCAGACGCGTACATTGACGTCTCGCCAGCGCCGTACCCCGATCCCGATCCCGGTCCAGACCCAAACGGCAACGCAAATCCATATCCCGCCGACCCCGTCTCCACGGGCAACGTCGCCAGCGGCCTCGCCCTAGGCAGGGGCCAATCCGGCGACACCGGCGGCCCAGGCGCGATCCCGCTCGCATCGAGGAGCGCGAGCGCGTCGAGGTCTTCGAGCGGCAGGGGGGAGGTGTCGCTCAACGGGGCGGCGCCGTCGTGGTCGAGACCCGATGTCGACGGTGAGGCTAGGAGATGCGCCGGCGTCGGATGGGGCGGTGACGCAGAGCCCGAGCCAGAAGCGGCCCCGGAAAGCGAAAGCGTTCGCGGGGGAGACCCCGGTGGGGTCGTCGAAAGTGGACCGAGCTCCGCAAACGCCGGTGCGAACGGCGACGGCGCGAAGTCGTCGGGCGAGAGCGAGGCGCGCGGACTGGTCGATTTCGTGCCATTGGTGCGGATCGCGGGTGCCGGAGTCGCGCTCGAAGTCGTCGATATCGTCGCGGGAGGAGCAGTGGAGGGGGGCGAAGTCGAGGGCACAGATGCTGATGAGGCGGTCGTTTCCGTCGTAGCCGTTGCACCTGTACTCATACTTGCAGCCGTAGACTCGTCCTCGTCCATCGGCGTCCCATCCCGCGTGTGCGTCTGGGTCTGTGCTCGTCCTGCAAAAATCCTTCCCTTAGCATGATAATCAAATGAAATAACGATGCGCTCACCCTCCTCGTCTGCCGACGCCGATAAAGGCATCTCGACGTCCCCGCTCCCATCCTCATCCTCCGCACCCGTCCCCTCCACAGCCACATCAGCGCCAGCGCCAGCGCCCGCCACACCATCCTTCGCCTCTCCCTCTCCTTCTCGCGCCGGCGGTGGCGGCAGCACCCCCTCCATCGGCTCCCTCTTCACCAACACCTCCCCCCTCTTCCCCAGCACATCCCACGGCGCCAGCACCTCCCCGCGCTCCCACACCGGACTCGTCAGCGGGCTGCTCAACGGCGACTCGCCCACTCCCATCCCACCCCCTCTCCCATTCATCGTGGCAAGGCCCAACTTCGGCTTCCCCTGCGGCGACGGCGGTGCTCCTATCTTCGGCGACGTGTGCCCCTGCCCCGGCGACGGCGGCGCAGACTTCCCTCCCGGAATCGCCACCCCCATATCGATCTCGTCCAGCCGCCCCGGCGCGGGACTCGATCCCCGCACGTGCGGCGCGCGGCCCTTGCGGTGCGCATTGGGCGGGGGGTGCGCGGGCGTGGCGCTGCGCAGCGTCATCGGGTTCGCGGTGTTCGCGTCGTTCGCGTCGGTGGCGGAGGACGAGGCGGCGGATGTGGATGTGGAGGGAGCGGGAACGGGCGTCTGAAATGAATAGTAGTTAGTATTGGCATAATACGGTAAGTACGAAAGAAGCACGTACCGCCGGAAACACCCCCTGCATCGCCATCTGCCTCGCCGTCAGCCGCGTCACGCGCGTCGTCCGCGGCGCGCCGTGGGTATTTTTTGTGCTTTTTAGCCTCGATCTATGCGTCGGTGTCGGTGTCGGGGGGTGAGGGTGTGCTGCGTCTGGAGGGGAATGATGCCGCGCAGGGAGAGGCGCAGGGCCGGGGGATGTAGACGAGGCAGACAAGGGCGAGGGCGCCTTTCCTTTGCCTTTGCGTGTCGACGACGGCGGGGACGGGGCGGGCTGGGGAGGTAATAGGATTAGTATCAGTAAGCGGGAAATGAGGCGGAGATGAAGACGGAAAGCAAAGGAAGTGAATGAATAAAGGAATGAAAATAGAGGGAAGGGATGAGCGGTGTGGCGCTCCCGCTCCACTCGAGTCAGAAGACGCATAAGCGCCCGCCCCCGCCCGCCCCCGCACGAAAAGCAAAAATCGATAAAAATCGATAAAATAGGCACAAGCAAGGCCAGCGTCAGACGCTTAGGCGCCCGCCCACATGGCAGAAAGGCAAAAGAAGGACATGAAATGAAATGACGGGCACGGGCGCTACGCCATACATCATCCTCGCACGCATAGGAGCCCAGGAAATATTGCAGGCAGGCACGGATGCGCGGCGGCAGCACCGAATACCCAATGCCCCTTTCCTCCACTGGCAATAGAAGGCCGGTTCGCTGCAGGGACACATGCGCACTTGGCATGGCATGGCACAGACCTCGATACCCCTGTCGGTCGTTCCACCCCGCATCGCATCGCCTCCCCCATAAAACTGACACCCGGGGTATAAAAACCCAAGCACCGACCCAAAATGACCCACGAAAAGGAAACGCAAACAAAAACGAAAGCGACACACACCTCAGCCGGACACCGCACCCTCGCGCGCTTGCTGCGCACCCCCACGCCTTCGTCAGCATGTAGATCCGGGCTCTTGCGCTTCTTCTCCCTCGGCGTTGGCGTCCCCACCGCATCCGCTGCATCCAAGTCGTCCACCGCATGAGTCCCCGCCTGCGCCTTCGCAGAAAGCCTCCTCGCCGACGCCGGGCGCAGGATGCGCTGGATAGCAGGCGTCACCGGGGCGCTTGTCGAGCCATGCACATGCACGCGCGACGTACTCGCAACCGGCGGACTCGGCGCAGAGAGTGCGAATCGCGCGCTGCGGCGACGCGGGCTGGTGCTCCTCGTGTCGGTCCCAGAAGCCTCGTTGCCGTCAGAAATCGCCTTCGTGCGAGGCGCCATGCAGCTAGTTATTGCTGCGCCACGCTCCGAGTAAATCCTTCGTAAATGCTTGGTGAATAAGTCCTTTTCCTTCCTTTTGCTTCCCCGGTCTATCCTAGTCCGCGTGTTCCGAGTCTTGTATTTCTTGTATTCCTTCCTGTTGTTCTATCCGGCACGCAGCCCAGTGTCCAAATGCGACTTGCTTGGTCTTCTTGTCTTGAGCTTCGTGGTAGACTTGGCGGTACGATCAATGACAAGACGGCGACAAAACAAAAGGCGATTTGTCGAGGCGAGCCAAGCAATGCGACCGCCCTGCAGCCAAGCACACCCAAATATACAACAAATACTCCGCATGACTCGGGGAACGCACGTGCCAGCTCCACCTGCCGTTTCACCACTTTGTTCTCGAATCTCATCTCAGCATAGCGGAGGGCAGCAAGGGAAGGGAGAGAGGGACGAGACGCGAGACGCGAGACGCGATACCGTGATCGCCATTGGTCCGACTTCGGGCGAATGTGCAAATTCGCATACGTACCTATCAAGCAGCTATCAGGCTGCATGCGGAATTGTGAGGGGATCTGCAGACGTGTAATTCAATCGAATCCCCTTTTACTCCTCTCACCTGAGTTTCCGCGTACGACACACGCCTGATCCGTCGACGAATGTGGTATCTCCGTCTACGAGTTTCCATTTCTGCTCGCGCGCATAAATATATATCCTGTTGGCGATTTACAACGCATCATCTCCCCTCAACGGGCCATCGCCAGTGCAAATCCCGTTGACTTCCTAGGTCCTGCCCAAACAAAACATATTGAAATCCAATTACATCCGCCAATATTACCGCCTCCATACTGTGCCATCGCCTACGTAATTCCTTCCAATGCATTTTGCCTTTTCTCCTTTGTGTACCACCCACCGTGATCCTACTTCTCGTTCTTAGCGTCCTGTTGGTCCCGAACGAATCGAAAAACAAAAACAATGTGACAGGGAAATGCATTAAGGGGGAATCGAACCCCCGGCGGGTCGAATACAACATGGTCCATGATATGGCAACGACCCAGGTTACCACTACCCCATTAATGCTTGGTCCCAAAGCTTTCCCTTGCCGATTTCGTCATCTATGATCCTCACTTGTGATTCTGACTCAAATACCACCTCTGAATCCTCCGCCTTCTGAGAACCCTTTTAAAGAAATAATATGAAATACATCTCCCATTTCCGTCCTTCTTTAAGCACCTTTTTGCCGTTCCCTCCTGTTCCTGTTTTTACCGCCAGAGTTTTGCTGAAAACCGAATCAAGCGACACACAAACAAAAATCGAAACCCCCGGTACTTATGCATTAAGGGGGAATCGAACCCCCGGCGGGTCGAGAACGGTGGTTCTCTCTCAATGGCAACGACCCAGGTTACCACTACCCCATTAATGCCTGGGCATGTCATGTGTTTCGTTCCTCCTACTATCCTCACTTGCGTGCAAATCATGCTATCTCGGAATCCTCCGCCTTCTGCGAACCTTTTAAATAAAATAAAATGCATTTTGCCATTGTACCACCATCATTTGAGATTGAATCCAGAACAAAAAGGGAAGATGAAAGTCTCATGTCATGCATCAAGGGGTTAATTCCCCCACTGCATTTGATAATTATGGCAAGAAAAGAACCCAGTTTACCACTACCCCATTAACACTTGAGTTGCACACCTGTTCCTCCTACACATCATCACTGCACATCCTCACTTGTGAGTGAATTGCACCTCCTCCAATCACTGTCACCTATGTACTTCCTTTTAACTTGCTTTTACCTTGCCTTTTCTATCCCACCGTGTTCCTACTACATACTCTGTTTCGGCCTTGACGAGCAAATCAAGAGAAAAAGTAATGACCAAAAGAAGTAATTCATTTCCCAACTTGGTTTTGAAAACAAGTTGCCAAGAGAAGTGACTAGTCAAGGGGGTTCAGGCCAGTCAAGGGGAGGACTGGGGAGTATTACAATGAAATGCAGATGCTTCATCAACACACTATATATTTCGTAGAACATTACACTCCAGTGATGTGTCAGCAATGGCCTCTGGGTCGGCTAAACAACAAGCAACCCAGTGAGAACCCCAACCAGGAGAAACCTGACAGACACTAGTAACTGGTGTGTTCCCTGAGCAGCAAGACCAACCGGACGGACTACTCGTTAGGACACCGTATATTGCAACTGTGTTCAGACAGCGGGAGAACTGGGATGAGAAGGATCGTCACTGCCCTCCAGCGGACCGGGTGAACCATGATCGGTTGGCCCAGTGCTAGTTGGACGATGAGGAGAATGGGATGCCTGTCTGGAACTGTTATCGCTGGCGGGAGAAACCTGCTGGGATATGTGAGCATATGGTATATCTTCAACATTAGGCACATCCTGGCTGCCACGCTCTGGATAGGGAGAGGCAGGATACCAACGGGGATTATCTGCAGTATGGTTTGGGTCAGATGTACCATTATCTTGGCGGTGAAACAGTGCACCTGGGTGCAGCCGTGTAATCGATATGCCAACTCAAACTACCAAACCAGAGAGCGCAGCAAATAGAGTCACTAGACACAATCCAATCCAACAATCCAAATCAACAAAATATATCACAAACTCCAACTCCAAATGTCGTGAATGTGTTTGGGGAAGTAGGGTACGTATCACCCTTCAAGAGGGTGTGCAAGGGGAGTAAAAGTAATGTCTTTGTAGCGGGAAAGCAACAACAACGGGCCGTTCGGGCGCTTGTTATGCGAGAGCAGGGACTTCTGGCCACTAGAGAATCGAGGGGTTCAATAGGAAGACTAATGACTGCCAGACAACTCTTGAGGGAAACAGAATTCAACAACGGCTGACACCGAGCCAACGGGTAGCGATTGCAGAGCAGACCGTCAACAGACAGGCCTTACTTGGTACAACGGGAACACGGCTGGCGACGGCTCGACAATGCGGGGACAGTTACGCAGATGGCGGCAGCTCTGGCTAAGAGTGGGGGCACTTCTACTGCAGGTGACGGCGCTACACCAAAGGTGGGTCTCGACCGGATGGCGGTGGCTACTACTTGCAGGGACAGTTACACGGAAGGCGGCGGCCTCTGACTACGGGGGCAATTACACGAATGGCGGGGACTCCTGGTTAGGGAATGCGGGCACTTATATTGAGAGCGGCGGCAGTACAGCGACGGGGGCAGTTACACCAAAGGTGGCGGCGAGCAGCAACAGGGGCTCTTACACGGGCCAATAGCACTCTCGGCTATATCGTCGAAGGCAACACACAGACCACAGGTGGCGGAACTACAGCAACGGGGGCACTTCTATGAACGGCGGGGACCACTCCTGAACCACAAGAGATGATGCGGGCACTTATATCAATGGCGGCGGAAGCTGCAGGACGGGGGCAATTACGTGGCAGCTACCTCGTTCGAGCGGGGGCACTTATGTCTTGTGCTTCCGAGGACTGTTCAAGACTTTGCTTTGTCCGGTCCTCTTCTGAATATCAAAAATATGTCTTTTATCTCAAGAGTCCACTATATTCACCCCAATTTCCGGGCAGATAGTATACTGGCTAATACATGCTCAAGTGCCGTCTTGTATACAAACGGGAGGTCACTAAAGGAGATGAAAGGAACTGAAGAGGATCAAACCGTGTCGCGCCGCCAATGGGTGGATGGCCAATCGTACTGCAGGGATATCTGAACTCTGAGTATTCTGTCCTCCTGCTGGAGTTACTCCACATGAATCCAGAGCCTAGCCTCTATGGCGTGCTCATCTTCTGATGGTTGTGACGGATGCAGTCCGCTTCTTCTAACTCCTGCTGACTCACGAGTTCGACTCAATCTGCTGCCAGTCGTCTTTCAATCTTCTTAGTTACAGTGGGAACTACGGGTGTAGGGCTCTATCTTCCGGGAGGTGTGGTCCGGGATGATCGAGTGGTTCCCAACCTCTTCGTGTTGCTTTCCAGCCACTGAGCTGCAGCCGCTAGTCCGTCATCAAATATGTGATGTTCAGATGCTAGCTTCGTGTTTATCATATGCAGTTTGCACTTCGGCTGCCGCTGGCTGGTGCGCCCACTGGTCGTCCTGATGCTTCGTAGTGTTATAAGGGTATGGCTGCCAGTGAAGGGACACCTTCAGCTGGCTTCTAAGGAGTGGGTTGTAGTAGCGGGAAGAACTGTACGATCCTCTGTCTAGACTCCGTATCTTTCTGTTACCGTGATATCATCATCATTTCCAACCATTTGGTTCTCCCGCTGGTGAAGGCAGTCAACTATTGATGATTGGTAGTCCCCCATTGGTCACCTCCGACGCATAGAGGCACAGCAGAACTGCATCCCATAACCCAGCGTAGTGAGTTCCCACCAGAACGCAGTACCCGTAAGAGCCTTTGTTAAGTCGTCCACCCTTATAGTTGTTTAGCCGCTGGCTTTCAGTCATCAACAGCGTAGCCTACCACCTCCGGGGAGAGGTGTACGCTCTCAAATCTAATGCCTCTTCTTTCCCATACTGATAGACGTGAAAATGAATAAAAACTGGTGTTTTCATGCTTATCCTGTTACACGCCCTATCAGCGGTGTCGGCGATACCGGATCCAACATAGCGACACTTTGCATCTTATCTTGATCTAGTGTTGCCGCGACTCGAAAAGTCGAGTCGCGACTTCAAAAGTCGACTCAAACACGAATTTGACTCTACTCGACTTGACTCGACAGGTCCAAGTCGACTCAAGTCGACTGAAGTTGACTTCAGAGCCCATTTTGAAAAACAAGATATTTTTGTGGTTCTAGTTTCATTTGCAAAAATCACAGAAATGTGACAGGTGTCACCTGGGTGTCACGCGCTCAGGTCACAGTCCATCAAAATTTAAAGAATGTATTTTTTTTGTGCTGTGAACGACTCAGCACTCCTTTCTAGAATTCAAGCTTTTGGTTGACTTCAAGTCACTCGAGTCAACTTGGAAGTCAACCCGAGTCGCAGTGCCGACTCAGCTTGACTCGACTCAAGTCGGCTGCAACTTCGACTTCGAAATGACTTGGAGTCGAAGTCGCAGCAACACTATCTTGATCTTATCAGCCTTCTTTTATGTGCCACCACCACTTGCATCTTTCCACTTCTGAGAAAATCCATCCTCATGGTTCATGGTGTATTCTGAATGATATCAAATTAATGAAATATTCCGCAGTCTACAGATATGAATGTCACGGAAGAACAGTATCCCAGTTTAACGTACTTGATCCAACCAACCAAGGGCGGTGAAACATCTTTTTTTTATGTTGGGCCCATGAAATAAAATGCCCCTGAAAGATATGAAATGGTGGGGAGAGTTGTTGGCATCGGAGGAGGTAATTCTGTGCTGGCAGCAGTTCGGCAGAAACTTACCAGAAACCCCACACCATGCGGGTGTGTGAAGCCATAATGAAGCCATTTGATTCCTGGGACTTCAATGTGGAATATGCATTGAAATCCCATGAATCTCAACGAGGTGGAGGTCAAAACGTGTTGAAATGCAATCTAGAGTGCGACATTGTTCCGAGGTCTTACTAGGCACTTGAGTACTTGTCTATATAAATGTTGAGAAGAGTTGCCTGGCCCAAACACACCCCACAGTCTGCGCAGATGATACCTTTGACCAAATTCCCCTCGATATCGGCCTTCATCTCGGATAACGCAGTGGTAGATCACTTTTAACCATTCATCGAATGAAGTTTATGGCTTTTAGAATTCAGCACGATGGCTGAGTGCTATCCCTTGAATCTGTAATTTTGAGGGAATGGCTTCGCATCGTAGACAGAAATTTACCCAAGGACCCTTCCTTCCAGAAATTCATGGAGATCATTGCGACCTTTGATCCCGAATTCCTCAATGATATTTCAGTTATCCAAGGTTCCGCCAACAATATACTATTCGCAAAGGCCTTCAAAATTATGGACCTGAATGTAAGTAGTCCAAATCTCAAATGGAACCCTGTTGAATGCGAAATAGAGCATGTTTGACGTAGTGGTTCACCACCTCTGCTACCGCGCAGCACGCGAGGTGGCATTCTATGCCACAATGCCAAGTCTCAGACACTGCTCAGGGCGCTTCCTTGGACCGGTGGGCTTTTCTTGCGATGGGTGGCCCCAGTCCTCGCAAAGCGCAGATGTTGACTCAGATGACAAGCTTCCCGATCTCATTGATGCCTATGAATTGTAGTTAGTTTAGAATTCAATTGTGTTATGGGAGTGGGACTTGGCTAATGCCATCATTAATGGGACTCAGCTCCGCTAACTTTGGCTAACCCATCATTAATGGAACTCGAGCCAGCGCCATATTATTCCGGGAGATTGGGCCACTTGTTCTTGCACAAAAAACCCCAAAATGAGGGCTGAACTGTAGCTAGATGTATAAATTCTGGTATTATTGAACTCAAAATCCATATTTGTGGAAA